TCAAGATGACTAATGTTAGTTACTTGCCAATGTATGCAACGTCCGAGAATACGGTTTCAACCCCTCCACCTACCGTCTCTAATGAAATGCCACCTCCTCACACTAAGAAGCGAAAGAACCGTTCAGAGGCTTGGAATCATTTCATTATATCGTCAGAAGAAGAACAAAAAGCTTCGTGCAAGTACTGTGACACAAAAATTAAGTATAATAATGGAACTAGTTCTATGCATGCTCATTTATCAAGATGCCTTGTTTACAAGAGACAAAGGACATCATCTTCTATGACAAGTGCTGAAGAACATGTTGGCTCTCCTTTAATTGTCAAGTTTGACCAAGAAGCTATTCGAAGAGCAATGGTTAAGATGTTCATTAACATGGAGATTCCTTTTCGGAAGGTTGAACATGAGTCTTTTCATGAATTTATGAGTCTCGCTTCACCAAGATTTCAGATTTGTTCGCGCACAACATTGGCACGCGATGTCTTGAAACTATGGAACACGGAAAAAATGATTTTGAAAAACTTTCTCTCTCTGAATTGTCAAAGAGTTTGTCTCACCACTGATATGTGGACTTCTTGTCAAAAGTTGAGCTATATGTGTGTGACGGCCCATTTCATTGACAATAATTGGAACTTACAGAAGAAGATCTTAACTTTTTGTCAAGTCACAAGTCATACAGGGGATGCTATTTGTGAAACAATAGAGATATGTTTGAACAATTGGGGTTTAAACCGTGTGCTTAGTTTGACGGTTGATAATGCTTCATCTAATGATGTTGGGGTTGAACGTCTCAAGAGAAGGCTCTTGTCTAAGAATAGTTTAGTTATGAGTGGAAACCATTTTCATATGAGGTGTTGCGCACACATATTGAATTTAATTGTGAAAGAAGGTTTGAAAGACATTGATGATTCTGTTTATAGAGTTCGTCATGCTGTTTGGTATGCTAGATCTTCTCCCGCGAGGCTCGCTAAATTCAAGGCATGTATTGATGAGGAGAGCATGGACTATAAAGGTTTAGTTTCTCTAGATGTTGAGACTCGTTGGAATTCAACTTACTTGATGTTAGTATCTGCATCAAAACATGAAAGAACCTTTGAAGAATTCGGTTTTCGAAATAAAAGGTATGTGAATTAATTTTGCAGTCATATACAACTAGTTAGTTATTCTATTATGATAGTTATAAAGGTGATAAAAACTTTATATATTAATAGAAACTAACACAATAACACTTTATTGTTGTTGCCGCGACTATTCTAAAATTATGCAAGTACATTGTCATAAGTTATGTGAATTAATTGATGTTGAACATTTTATGTTGTGCTAGGTATGTGAATGAGTTGACAAAAAAGGGAAAAGGTGTCCCGATGAAAGACGATTGGAAGCATATCAACTTAATCATTCCATTCTTGAAGTTGTTTTATGATGCCACTGTACATATATCAGGGTCTTCTTATTTGACAAGCAATATTTATATGTTTGAGGTCTTGGGTATTGGAAAGAGCATTGTGGATATGTGTGCGTGTGACGATGAACATCTACGTTCAGCATCTCAAAAGATGAAAAAGAAGTATGATAAGTATTGGGGATCTCATGAGAAGCTTAACATGATGTTGTTGATTGCTCTAGTTTTTGACCCTAGACGCAAGGTTAGATTGGTTGATTGGATGGTACGACGATATTATAATAAGGTTGATGCTGATGCCTTGAAAGAAACCTTAGAGTCTTGCTTGAAATCTATTTATGAGGAATATTGTACTGGGTTCATGCCTCCTCAAGATAATCCACATGAGTCGCAAGTTTTTGGTAATGTTAGTCATCCATACGGAACTGCTGAGTTTTATCTTTCAGAAGGGTGTGACAATGCAGATAATGAGTTAACCACTTATCTTGGAGAGAAGTTAGAGCATAACATGGAGATAAATGTTCTCGAGTGGTGGAAAGTAAATTCTGGTCGTTATCCCATCCTTGCAAACATTGCAAGAGACGTGCTTGCTATACCAATAAGCACAGTGGCGTCTGAATCTGCATTTAGCACAGGAGAAAGGGTGCTTGATCCATATCGCAGCTCATTAACACCAACAACTGTCGAAGCACTGATATGCACCCAGGATTGGCTCAAAGGAACATCTTCATCATTGATTACAAATAAAGATTTTGATATTCTTGAGAGATTGGAGCAAGGTATGATAACTAAGTATATTTGCTAATGTATTATTATTTATTATACTTGAGGCATAATGAAATGTATTTATATATTTTGTAGAATTACTTTATACAAAAGATGGTGCTAGTTGTTCAACCTCTTCAACCTCTGTTGCGCTCGAAGAGGACTTAACGGTAAAGAATTCTAAAGTTTTATATATGCATTTTTTTCCATTCTTGAGCTACAATTTCACTTGTGTCAAAGAATTCACCAACTATTTCACTTGTGTCAAATAATAAATTGTGGCTCTGTTGCAGACTTGATGGAAGTGTTCAGACAATTGGGTTTTTGTCATCAGAGGGGAGAATTCTGGTGGAAGTATAGGAATGAAATGTCTTCCAGAAAATTGTGTTGTTAAAGACAATCTTGAGAATCTGGCTCTTGATACCCCTATAAATTTACAATGTAACTTTAAGATTTTAAATCTTGTTAGCTTTGTGAATTAGTGAAGGATGTTGCACATTCCCTATATAATCAACAAGTATTGTATCAAAGAATTCACCAACTATTTCATTTGTGTCAAATAATGAATTGTGGCTCTGCTACCATAATTTTTGAGAAATTACTTTACTATATTTTAAGGTAAAATCACATATCATATGTTTTAAAATTGTCAATGACCATAAATTTTGAGAAATGACCAATTTTTTTTTTAAATTAGTGTTTTTAACATAAAATAATTTTTTAATACTGGTTTTTTTAAAACTAGTTTTGAAATCGATTTCTTAAGAAAATATTGTTTAATTTAGGTTAGTAATTAAGTTGATAGAAAATATGTTCAATTAAATTCACTTAGTTAGTAGATGTTCAAAGATATCAAATATTAGAACATATATTTGAAAGATAGATACATGAAAGAGATAAATTGCAAAAAATTATTAATAAAATTTACTTATTAAATTAATAATAAAAGCTATTTATCATTTATGTTTACCCATGGCCTATAAAAATATTAAATTAAGAATAGATAAAATAGAAAAGTGGACCTTGGTGTATCTGGATTGTGTCATTACTTATATAAATGTCTTGTTGTTATTTATTTGAGGTCATTTTCTATTATTAATGCCCTTGTTGTTATTTAAGATTTGAGTGCAAACTATTGAATTCATATTTAAAGTATTTATAATTCTTTATATATATCTTTATTAAACTCTATTATTTAACTAAAATTTAAGAAAAAACAATATATAAATTTAATTACCTAGTTTTATTAATATGTGTGAATTATCAAATGCTTCTAATACATCATATGATCAATCAAGTATTATATAAATAAAGATACGATCAATTATCATATAAACAAACATACGATCAATTAATATTAGAATTTCTGAAAATAAAATAAAATGAAAGGATATGATCGTACATACTAGTGATATTTTTAAAACTGGTTTTTTTATAAAATTGATTTTGAAACTGGTTTTTTATAAAACTGGTTTTGAAATCGATTTTTTAAAGAAAAATAAAAATTGGTTTTTAGAAAAATCAGTTTAAAATTGGTTTCTTTTTAAAAACTGGTTTTTGTGAGAAACCGGTTCAAAACCGAACCGATCCACATGTAAACCGATTTTAGAAATATAAACCGGTTTTAATGAAGTAGTTTTAAGATCCAAACCAAATCATATATATGGTTCAATTTGGTTTGGTTATTGATCCATGCACACCCCTAATTCTGCATTTTGCTATTTCCCTGTAGGATTTTGGCGGTCAACTACTCCCGACTACTTTTGTTAATTTACGGTTGTCTCTTCTAAGTCCAAAACAAATAAAAACCAAAACAAATAATAGAAAAATATAAACACATAAGTGATTCTTCATATTAGTAAATTTCGTTTATACAGAATAATATCAAATTGATATGAGTTACAGGGACACTAACTTCCTAAGAGGGATGGGTGAAAGAGAAAGTAAGATAAACTGATATGTACACTATATAAATACATATTACATGTATGATACTTGATAAGAGTTATAGCTGCTACACTTACCAAGAATCCATCTTGAGGGACTTTATGAGTGAGTTAATAAATAGTTTGAGATATAACTATCTTGTGAGTTAATTTTCATCCAAAAATTTGTGTAGAGAATTTTCTAATCATCTTCATTGTTCTTAACGCTAACTAATCAGATAGAAGTGTAAAGCAAAACACCTATTAAAAAACTGAATAAAATTAAGAATGGATGTGAGTCAAAAATATTTACATAAAAAATTTACATGAAATACAACCAAGAAAATATAAATCTTTCCAGAAGGCACTGAAATATTCAATAATTCCAACAGTTAATCGAGTATTTTTTAACTTAAAATATAATACAAAATTCCGTAAAGCCAAAACCTGGATGTGATCCATTGATGCAAAAAGCATGGATTTCATATTAGCTTATGTTCCATGATCATGTCCATTAGGCTTCTTCCTTCTTAATGAGTCTTCACTTGATCTTCCAAACCTGTCAGATATGAGTCTTCACTTGGTCTTCACTTATTGAGTGTACTTAACAATAAAATCAACATAAACAATGAAGGAATATTAGAAAAAATATAGCAGTCCATTTAAATTTTAAGATTAACAATATGAAATGTTCGTTGAAAATTTAAAAAAGCATCTTGCACTGAAAACGAATAAAGACAAACCTCAGAGGCAAAACAAACCATCACATATTATTGAAACATACCATCGTCAGAGGCTATGTATTTTGCAACATTCTTGCAGCAAGTAATCTTATCATCTTTCTCATCAGGAATTTCTATGGAAAATTCTTCTTCAAGAGCCATAATAAGCTCAACCCTATCCAAGCTATCAAGCCTCAAGTCCTTTTGAAAATCAGTTGTTTCAGTAACTTACACGAAAGTATCCTACCAATATTTATTCTACACATTTGAATATAGAAACTGAATCACGAACTGTGGAACGACCAATTGACCATTACTTAAATAAAGTTTAGTAGATCACATCGCAACACTAAAGGCACTTACTTAGATTGTTTGTATGAAGGATATCAATTGAGTCCATGGCTTTGCAGAGCTTTTCCTGAGAAGTTGGGGAAATGGCTTGAAGAGAAACCAACTATTGAGAAAAGAAATAACATAAATCATAAAATCAAGTCAAAAAATTGCAACGATGTTTTTACCTTTATGGTTGATAATAGCCTTTCAGGACCATGCATCTTTTAGACCATTCATGATCAACACAAGAAGTCAATTCATCAGTAGCCTCATTGACATGTATTTTCTCACTATCATATATTATATAAGGAAACAAAAGATTGCTTCTCCTCATATTCAGGCGAATCATCAGAGGGACGAATCTGACAACCATCAGGGTTGAGGCCATGTTCAGCAGTGGAGCAGAGTTTATCCTGATCTTCAGCACCAGCTGAATACTCATATTAACTGCAGTTATCAAGTAAAGTATTATCATCTCTAAGTTCCAGACCTGCACAATCAAGAGAATCAAATTCAAAAGATAATAAGTCAATTAATGCTTGCATAAACATAAGTCAATTAAACCTAACGGCGGAGACACAACGATTTTTGAGTAGTTCCGTTTATGATTTTGAAGGATACTGTGGTTGCAGCTTGTGAAGACTGTTCTCAACATCCATTTTCAATTGCTCCGATAACCATGAAAATAGTCAAAACCCGATCATGTGCAGTTGAAATTATTTGATTAGATGAAGGATCCACTATCATTGCAACATTGACTACCTTAATTGATAAAGTTTTAGATGAGCAGCAGTTGAATGTGAAATTGAATAATGGAAACTCTAACCAAAATAGACTTTATTAATTTAGCAATTAATGCGACAGAGGGGGTAGAACTGGACATACTTGAACATAAAGTAGCAGAAGATAACACAGTACAATCAAAATATTATTTCTTGTCACAAACTATATAAAAAAGGTCTTGTTTGTACATTTACCGATCCATCCGATGTTGCCAACTCTACTTCCGACACTCCTTGTCCAATTAACCGAGATTTTCTACCAGTCTGCTCAAGAGCTTCGATCATGGTTTTTTCTGGTGTTGAATCAAGAATCCTACCAACCTAATTGCGCAAATCCACCTTTACATTCTTGATTCCTACAAAAAGTGAGAACATAAAGCAAGAATGATTAAAAGGTCACTTAAACTAATAAGCACTTAAATAAAAAAAACATGTACCATGAATCATCTGCAGCTTACTTTTAACTGCACTAACAACTTTTGCATGTCAAATCCACCATATAATACATTTATAACATCAAATTAACAATAAAAGCAAAACTCAAACGATTGGGTATTAAACTAAACATCTCAATCTAGCATCATAGCTAAGGAAGCTAAAATAATTTGAAATTATAAATCGAATTAAGCAAAACAAATTTTCTTTCTTCCTTCCTCTCTTAAGCACATCAACAACTCATTGCTACAGAGGAAAGTGAAAACGGTACTCTCTCAGCAACAACAACAACGACCAGCAACGCTCACGGAACATGAATTGAAACAAAACCGAATCATAGGAAACAAAAAGCATTGTAGTAGCGACTAAGAACTCCACCTTGATCATAATCCTTGTGGTCCGACAGATCTGACACAGAGAGAGACGACCAACTCACGATTTTTTTAAAAAACTCAGATGCTCATATCCTCTACTCTTCACTTTGATTTCATTTGTGATTTTTTGTTTTCATAACATTGTTTGTGTTTGGTGTTAAAGTGAAGTTGATATGTGTGAATGTTGAAATGGAGATAATGAATGTTATGGAAACTAAAGGTTTGCTCTTTGAATGGTGTATGAAGTGTTTTAGAATTAATGATTTATTTTCCTAAAGCATAGTGAAAAGCGTTCCAACATTCACTGTGACTTTTCAGTGGCCTGCGCATCTATTGAACATATTATATTTTGAAATTTTATTGAAAAATGGTGAGTCACTCTTAAAAAATACATCGTAAATGATAAGCATGTGTGAAGTAATGATGACAATGGTGAACGTGTATTAAAGAGAAGGATAAAGGGTTTATGTTTATAATGCTCCATTAGTATCAAAATGTACGGTTAAAAACGATTAAATTAAAATAAATAAATAATGTAGGATTGAAATATGTTCTATTTTAGGATAGAGAAAATTTTTAATTGAAAAACAAAAAGTGATTTTTTAAAATAAAACAAAAATTTATAAGAAAAAATATTGAAATGACACATAAATAATAATAAATGTCACTTCAATATAAGAGAAACAAGCTTGTAATAAGATATAATTAATCATATAATCAGATAATTTAAAATTTGAAGTAAAAAAGATAGTTTTGCTTTTTCTAGATACATATATTTATAATAAATTTTAAAAATAGTTAAAATAAAAGCCATGATTTAATATGAGACGGTTACAAAGTATCTTTACATGCCAATGAAATCCGAATATTAATCAAACGTATGGAAAATTGGGCTTTGATCTTGCGTGTGCTTTTTGGAAAGTGAAGATGTAAAATTAGTGCATTAAATAAGTCTTGGTATGATCCAAAATGAAAAGTTTAAAAGCAAGAACTATTGATCCATCATTGTGATATATGTAAACCCAACAACTTCCGACCTTTTCAGTTTGCATAAATTAAACATAAACAAAACCCTTGCCCTCCATTCACCTACACAAAATTATGAGTCAAAACCAGAGACTTTCCATGACTCGGTCTCGTACTTCTCTTTCAACAAATATTCATGCAAATGGAATTCAAAATACAATGAAAAGAAAATTGCTTGCAGCAGACAGCGCTAATGAGAAGAAGAAAACAAAGAAAGCAACAACTAGTTATCATCATAAATCCTCAAAAAGATTCAACTGCGGTATATGCTTTGAATCTGTAGCATTCTCTAAAATCTCCACAAACACTTCATGCAACCATCCATTTTGTACTAACTGCATATCCAAGTACGTGAATGTTCAAATAAACAAAAATGCTACGAAAGTGAGTTGTCCAAATCCAGAATGTTCCGTGGAACTGAAACCACAACATTTGCAATCCATTTTACCTACAAAACTCATTGTTGAATGGGAATCTGCAATTTGCGAGTCTTCCATTTCTTTGAAGCAAAAAATTTACTGTCCTTATAAGAATTGTTCTCTTCTGTTGGTGAATGATGGGGTAGAGGCTGTTACAAGTTGTGAATGTCCTTCTTGTCATAGGCTATTCTGTGCACAATGTAAGGTTCCATGGCATGGAGATATGAATTGCCAGGAATTTCAGCAGTCGAAAACTGGTCGACATAATGAAAAACAATTGGATGAGAAATTTTATGAGTTGGCTAGAACACAAAATTGGCAGAGATGTCCAGGATGTTCTATGTATGTCCAGAAAAATGGTGGATGTAATAACATGTCTTGCAGGTTGTATGTATAGCTTGTTATATTTTACATTTTTAAGCTTACCTTAATTGTTAGCACAAATTTTAACTTATATTTATATAATTCATTTTTTTTTGCTTTATATTGATTGGTAAAAAATGATTTGTAATGACTCTATTTTTTTCTTTTCAGGTGTGGACGTTTGTTTTTGTGGCAAAGATTATGATTCACCTGGACATGAGAATAAAACGCTTTACGTATGTTCCATTCCATCATCTTTCTTTGGTGCTTAGGTTAACAAATGAAGGAAAAGTAAGAGATAATATATTTACTGCAATGACGGCTATAAAGTTTACCAAATGAATGGTAATATGCAGGAAGTTCTAGCTGTTAATTAGTAATCACAAAGATAAAAATTTTGGTACATGAATTTTCCAGTTCTAGCTAAAATTAAAGAACTATTCAATAATCCAAACTTTCTTTCCCACCCTTGTCTTCTTTTAGTGATTTTCAATTTTTATTATATGGTGGTGATGTGTTTTATTCTCCATAACTAGCTAGATTATCACAAACTCTGCAAGAGCTTATCCAAATTCATGATATTGTTCATAAAAGAACTCTTTAATGAATCAACAATTAAACTCAGCATGAACTCTTTGGGGGTGTGCAACATGGACTATAACACAAAACTTCAAATTTGCATGGTTAAATTGTGGTTAAATGAGACTTCATAACAATTTGTCACATAATTTAAGACGGTTCTAAAGCTGAGATATTCTTAGCCTATAAAAGGTATTTATAAATTTGTCACAGAACATATTTGTAACTTTTAATTTGTATCCATGTCTTTAGAACGAAAAAAGAATCAATCTATATCGCATTCAATCTAACTTCTAATTAATTGTGTAGAAAAACTATACACGAACACTTTTACCATGAGTTTGTGACTTGTAAATGCCTGTGGTGGAGCTTAACTCCTTGGAGTGGAGAATGCTACCTTCATGTTCAAGTTTGAACTCAATTTGTGTAGAAGTTGTAAGTTTAGAATCTCTTTGTAACCTTATGATTTTATTTATATAGAAATTAAAAATAAATTCAATATTAATTCCTACGACTCAAATATCCTAACGATTGCATCTCTCAAACTCATATCAGAATTCAATTAGAAAATAAAAGCGGAAGCATACCTGTGTTTTCATTGACGGTTGCGAGTATATAATTTTCTGATTTTTCCTTGGGATTTTTTGAATCTCTTCTAATAGGTATGAAGAGAGTATCCTGATAAACTGTATTTTGTCAATCGCTCTACAAATGAGACCGAAATTCATATAAGTAACAAGGTTATTTCTTGAGAATTTATTTGTATACCTAGTAGTCTTCTTGCAGGCCTCTGAAGAAAAACCCAAAATACCTATAGAATTCGGATGTGCATATTTGAATGCACCAAATTTAAGTTTTTAGGGTTTCGTTCGGATATACATATCCGAAATAACCAAATAATTCAATAGGGGGTTATTCGGACATGTATATCTGACATAACCCAATATCCCAAATTTCTTTTGATTTTATTTTAACATTAAATATTTCTTTTTTTTTACAAGAATCTATTTATTTAATATTAAATGTTCTATTTTAATATTATTAATTATTAATAACATTCACTTTTAATTATAATATAAATATTTTTTTAATATAATAAAATATTTTAATTACAACATAATAATTAATTATCAATTCTATAATAAAAATTAAAAAGTACTATCTAAATTAAATTTAACTTTTAAAGTTACAATTAAAAAATATTTCTTATATTTTTTTTTTAAAATTATTCATAATTTTAAATAAAAAATTAAAAGACAATTACATTTCACCATTATAATTAAAAATTTAATAATTACATTCATTATTTAATTTCATATCATAAATTTATTGTTTTCAATTATAAATTTAATTTATTCTTTATTAATAATAACTCAATTTAATTACATTATAACTAATCGATTGTGCTACTCATTTGTATTTTATTTTCTCTACAACTTCGATATTCCTTTTCCTTGCAATTCTTCTGTTTCATTTCAATTCATTCTACATCAAATATTAAAACTACATTCTTGTTATGAATTTTTCTTTAATGATTCATGTTTATGTTGTTGTTTGCACATTCATCTTCATCGTTCTTTCTATTTCAAGTTCCATGCTTTTAATAATATTGTTTCGCAGTGAAAGAATTTTAATGGATGCAAAGGTATAAATCAAAAATAGTATTTTTCTAGTGATTCTTTTATTATGCAATTGAAAATAAAAATTATGTTGTTTATTTTGCTTACAATGTGATCAGATTCAAATATTGATTCGTCATGATCATACCCAAAAACGAAAGGATTTGTTGAAGGAAGATATGACATGTGTCATTAAGAATGGTAATATATATGATAACCATTTCCAATGGAAATTTTATGATCATTCGAAAAAATTTGTGTTTCTCAATGGCACAGTTGTGAAACCTATTGCTATTAGCAACATCCCCCTATGAAGTATTACTTTAAGCATTTTGTAGACATTCTTGAAGGGAATTATAAAAGTGATAAATGTATATTTAACTATTTAGAAAATACTCATTTATAATCTAAATTAATTTGTCTTAACATTAAGTTTGTTTATGACAAATGTGATTGGTGTTGTTCATTAGATAAACAACACTCAAGAAAAAACAAGCGGGAAAAAAAGGTTGTTGTGTTATTAAAATTGAGGGAATTGAAGTAATTTGATTAACAAATTAAAGTATATTTTTTTCATGTATTATGTATTCAAACTGTCAATCAAACATGCTTATGTCGAATAGTGCAATCTTATAAATTGTGTAGATTTTAGGAAAATTATGGATCTAAGTTTATAATTTACTACAATGATGCTGCAAACTCTGGTGGAATCATCATTATTTTAACAAATACAATGATAAGGGATGGCCAATGTCATTATATCAAAACCTACAATGATGATGCAAATTGTTGTATCCCAAAATTTGCCCTCGTATTTTTCCACAAGAAATCACAGCTTAGGACTTTTCCTGATTTTTCAGATTGACGTAAGATTCAGTTAAACAGACTTTTCTTATCAGTCAGACAAAATTAGGGTTGATTTTAAAGCAGTTCAGGCAGATTGCTAAAGTTTAGTTGAGTTGGCTCAGGTTTTGATCAGGCGGACGTTTCTTTGACATTTAATCAAGAATTAGGGTTTTTTGGACGCACATTCTCAGAAAGAATTAATTTTACAGTTCTTTTCAGTTTACTCTGAGATGTGGATTGAGGCATTTGAATCAAGGAATTGCAATGTTTTGTTTAATCAATAAAGGCTAAGGCATTTGATTTGAGATGAAAGCTGAGGTACTTAAATTGAGGATCTACAGTGTTTGATTTGATCAGTAAAAAGATAAATATCTGGATATTGGTTTGATTAACTGTGCATTGGATATTTGAAGCGTCGGGTTTATCATTGATTGATGTCAAGACCACAGTGTTTATCAATTGTTTATTTATTCTAAGATTAGAATAATTGGGATTTATTTCCATTTTATTATAATTTAAGGGTTATAAACAATTAAATAAACAATTGAAAGAAAGAAGAATTAACTGATAAAAAGAGGGATGTTTATTTATTTTGAATTGTTTGTTACAGTTATTATTTAAATGCTGTAAATTTATTTACAGTTATTTACATTAATACTATTACAAATAATTAAAATAGAAACAAAGCTAAATCCCTAAGTCTTTAAATCTTCAACTTCCACTGCTACTCCTCTCCATTTGATTTTTATCTGCAAGAAAACAAGAAACAAAAGAAAAGTCAAAGCAGATAAAATTAAAAAAAAAAGACAGACAGATAAGAAATTGGGTTCATCATTAAAGGCAGCTGGCCGGAATCAGTTCGCCCTCTGTGCAAATCACGAGATTTCTTCCGGTTCACAGAGAAGGATAAATAATGCTTGCAATGAAATATGAAATGCACAAATTTTAATATTGCACAAATTCAAAGTTTGTCAAAAAAGCTGCATAATTCCAAAAGTTTCCAACAGCATGTGCAAGTACAAAATCCAAAGGCAAACTGAATTGAACTGAACTAGAACTACAAAGTTCCAATTTCAAACTTTCCACAAGATATCCAAAAAGCTGTCCAAAAAGATATCAAGATATCAAAGTACAAAAGGCTATCAAAAAGGGCTGTCAAAGAAGCATAAAATCTGGAAGAAGAGATAAAGTATGCAGAGTAAACATGCATTGCAAGCAACATGTCAAGTCATCACTTTCCAAAAAGCCAGCTACCTTTTCAGAATTTAAGGACAAATCTAAGCAATATTAAAATGCTTAAAATCTGGAGAGAAGAGAGAAAGAGAAGATAGGCTTACAGGTTTAGGCTTGAAAGGACAAAAAATATATAAAACAAACTGGTATCAACACAGTAAGACAGGAGGCAGAGATATTACAAAAAACATAATACCACAAACTAAAAGAAAAAGAGATTGCAAAAACTGCCTCCAAGACAGTTCCCAAGCCTCCAAACCTGTATCCAAAAACAACTCAGAGCTGCAAACATGAACAAAACCACAAGCTTGTAATCATTCAACAAAACTGCCTCCACCCTGCTGAAACCCAAAGCTTAAAAAGCCAAAATCATTCAAAAGCCTAACCTGTCAAACCTTGAACCAACCTGCATAACTACAAACAAATATACAAACAGTAGGTTAAGCCTCAAAGCCCAAGCCTTACCAAGCACAACAAGCTCTGAACCTGGCCTGTAACCATTCAAAACATCTAGCCTTTCAAGCCTTGCATCAACTTGTAAGCACACTAAACTTAACCTGCCAAGCCAAGAACCTGTGCATAAACCAGAAGCCAAGCTTAACTTGTCCAAGCCTTACCTGCCTGAACTGTCAAGCCCTCAAACAATACAAACTGTCAGGCCCCTAACTGAAGCAACCAAGGCCCTCAGAGGAAGCCTCATCATAGGGCAAGCATACAAGGCCATAACCAACATCAACAAATATCCAAGCATTTCAAG